GGAAGGGGAAAAAATGAGAAGCTGATACCAAGGGCTCAAGTGGAAAACAAATGTTTTGAGAATGATGACAGCAACAAATGTCCAAATGTGCTTGATAAAATAAAAAAAAAAGAGGTTCCTCAAAAGATAGGTCTAGGGATCTGCTTTTGAAAGCTCATAGCCTTGAAAGGCTATGGAGCAGTTCTACTCTGTACTCATCTGATAGGCAGGAACTGGAATGGGCTCCACAACAATTAACAACGGCAGGACAAATGTGCCATAAGTCCGACACTAGTGAATACGTCCAATTATAGTCCACGAATCCTTCTTCAGACCCACAGAGCCACATGCAATGATGCAGGAAGATCACAGTCCTGTGGGTGGAAAGTCTTGTGTAGTGGTAGTGGATGCATCTCTACGACTCACACAGGTCTCAGCGTGGCTCACACATGAAGGTGAAGGTAGAGAGACACAGAGAGATATTTATCTTGGTGGCACCTCTAAATGAGGTCATCAAGCTGTGATCTGATTGACAGGCTAAACTCCACCCACATCTTTTTAAAAAAAATCATTTTATTGGGGGCTCATACAACTCTTATCACAATCCATACATCCATTAATTGTGTAAAGCACATTTGTACATTCTTTGCCCTCATCATTCTCAAAACATTTCCTCTCCACTTAAGCCCCTGGCCTCATTTCCCAGCTCTTCATTCCCCCTCCCCCTCCATTCCTGCTCCTCCCTCCCTCATGAATCCTTGATAATTTATAAATTATTATGTTGTCATATTTTACACTGTCCGACATCCCCCTTCACCCACTTTTCTGCTGTCCACCCCACAGGGAAGAGGTTAAATGTGGATCCTTGTAATCGGTTCCCACTTTCCACCCCATCCTCTCTTCACCCTCTCGGTATCGCCACTCTCAGCACTGGTCCTGCAGGGTTCATCTGTCCTGGATTCCCTGTGTTTCCAGTTCCTATCTGTACCCGTGTACATCCTCTGGTCTAGCCAGATTTGAAGGTAGAATTGGGATCATTATAGTGGGTGAGGGGAGAAAGCATTTGGGAGCTAGAGAAAAGTTGTATATTTCATCATTGCTACACTACACCATGACTGGCTGGTGTCCTCCCTGCAACCCTTCCATAAGGGGATGTCCAGTTGCCTACAGATGGGCTTTGGGTCACCACCCCATACTCCCCTTCATTCACAATGATATGATATTTTGTCCTTCAATGCCTGATACCTGATCCCTTTGACACCTTGTGATCACACAGGCTGGTGTGCTTCTTCCATGTGGGCTTTGTTGCTTCTCAGCTAGATGGTCGCTTGTTGACCTTCAAGGCTTTAAGCCCTCAGACACTATATCTTTTGATAGCTGGGCTCCATCAGCTTTCTTCACCACATTTGCTTATGCACCCACTTTCTCTTGTGTCAGTGATCATGTCAGTGATCATGTCAGAAAGGTGAGCATCATAGAATGCCAGTTAATAGAACAAAGTATTCTTGCATTGAGGGAGTGCTTCAGTGGAGGCCCAGTGTCCATCTGCTACCTTAATACTAAACCTTTAAATAAATGCACATATATATATTTCCTCATCCTCATATATAAATATATTTACATATGTACATGCCTTTATTTAGACCTCTTTAAGTGCCTTTTGCCTCCTAGTTTTTTTCTCTATTTCCGTTTACTTTCCTCTTGTCCCACTATCATGCTCAGCCTTCATTTGAGTTTCAGTGATTCCTCTCGGTTACATTACCCTTGATCACGCCCTACCAGGCCTCCTACACCCTCCTCACCACTGATTTGGATCACTTGTTGTTCTCTTGCCCCTGGGTTTGTTAACACCACTCCCTCCCCCCCTACTTCCCCCATTCCCCATGTCCCCTGGAACTGTCGGTCCCCTTGTTTCCTCCTCCAGATTGTTCATCCAGCCTATCTTATTCACCCAGATCTTCTTACAGGTGCCACATTGGCAGGAAAAACCCATGATTTACTGTCAGGATGATAATGAAATAAGGCATGGAACAAAGAAAACCATCACAAATTCATGATTGGTTGCAGATGAATCCATCAGAGTTACAGGTGAGACTATAGAAGCAGTAAAAAACGCATGATGGGAACATTTACATTGTTAGATAGAAGAGCTAACAAGGTTGATCCAGGGTCTTCTGACCAAGGCAGTCAGGGCATGTCTGACAGGGCATGATTTATGACCATTCACCCCCTTGTACTGTCCTTCGTGTGGTGAGCTCCATTAAGGACACATCTAGGCAAGCCCCTAAGAAAGAGTACTTCTCCCTGGGCTTGCTGGAGAGGGATGAAGGTAATCTACTTTCCTGTGCATGTTGCTTGAGGTAAAGATTGCCTGTATCCTTGGTTAATGATCAGAAGGAATCCAATGGAAGCTATGTGGGGATTCTTCAAATGGATTTTGGGCTTCCATTGTCATCTAGGCAGGGGTCCTCAAACGTTTTAAACAGGGGGCCAGTTCACTGTCCCTCAGACCGTTGGAGGGCCGGACTATAGTTTAAAAAAAACTGTGAACAAATTCCTATGCACACTGGACGAGTCGGCTGCTAAGCAGGACAGGCAGCGGCGGCTAAAACACCTGGCGGGCCGGATAAATGTCCTAGGCAGGCCCGTGGGCCATAGTTTGAGGACCCCTGATCTAGAGCCTTCTGAAAACCAGGTGTTCACAATTAAAGCTCTGGTACCGTTCCCTTCTTTGAATTTGGATGCTATTATTTAAAATCCTTGGATCACCTATGCTGGTGTGCTTCTTCTATGTGGACTTAGTTGACACCTCACTTAGATGGCTGCTTGTATGAAGACAAGCTTTTAAGATCCCAGACATTATTCTTTCTAGTAGCTGGGCACCATCTGATTTCTTCACCACACTTTGTTATGCACCCATATCTTCAGTGAGCACTTCCGGAGGGCTGCTATCAAACAGGGCCACACCATAATAACCAATTGTTTTTAGATTAGAGTTTAGATTAAGTGTGAGCACAAAATCCATCCATATCCAAGGTTTAAATACACATATGTATATCGATGGTCCACTCTAGAGGTGGCAATATCAGCTTGAGAAATAATACAGATTACCTCCATGGGACATTTGGTAATTTAAAAAATAATATAATTAATCTAGCCAATGGTGTAGACCTTGAAATGAAAAACATATAGGAAAGCCTTTTAGACTTAAATACATGGCATGTTCACTTACACATTAAAAAACTTAAGTGCAGCGCATTATTTAAGAAAATGAAAAGAATGAAAAGAAAGGAAAAGAAAACTAAGGGTTAGACAATTTCAATAAAACTCATTTACTAAGACAAAAATATTTATCTGCAGATTTAAGACCCATCAGAAAATGCAAAGAAAAGATGAAAATCGCAAATATATGGTAGTCTCAAGTTCTCAATTATTGGGCAATCTCAAAGCAATTGAGTTTTGAACCAAAGTCCAATGACTTTGAAGTCCACGACCTTGGGATTGCAGGCCTCTCCTTCTTCTCAGAGTAGAATGCTGCAACTTTAAGTCCAAAGGAGTGTTTCAGGTCCTTTAATCCGAAGCAGGAATGTCTAAGATAAAGTCCAGTTCATTTAGTGACCTTTCCAAACTGGGTGTTTTTGCCAAGCCCTATGAAGAAGTTGTACATCTCGAGGGGTAGAATCTAAAATCCAGTAATCTATGTACTGTGCTCCTGACTAGACACTTTGCCCGAGAAATGGTGGCATGGAGTACAAGAAAGAAGAAAATGTTCTAAAATTGTGGTAATGACTGTACCACTCTTCTCCATAGGCTTGAAGTACTGAATTGTATGATATGTGAATTATATCCCAATTAAATTGTGTAAGGAATAGATATACACTGAATGAAACAAATCATATAGTTTGCAGCACGAGGCTTGGATCACCGAAGGCAGAAAAGAACTTTGGTCAAAAATGTATGACTGTCCGAGTGGATATTCCCCTGGGAGGTCCGCACAAGTAATGCGATGGGTTTGCTCCAAGAGCAGCTGCCCTTCCCCGGGCATGTTCCATTGCTGTTCGTACGGTTTTGGGTGGTTTATTTTTCAGAAGTGGACCACCTCTCCTCTTCCCAGTCTGGAAGCTCCACTGAAACATGTTCACGCTGTTGGTATTTGAGATCCCCGTAGCATATCTTCCAGCGACACACAAGTCACCATGTTATGACAGACTGCCAGATGAGTAGGGCCAATGCTATACATGTTTGTATTGAATAAATCTACTGCACAAAACTCATTTAAAGTCTTAAAGGATGACACTTTGGGGACTAAGGTATGTCTGACCCAAGCCATGGTATTTTCAATCTGCACGTGAATGCTGGACAATGGATAAGGAGGACCAGAGAAGAATTGATGCTTTGAATTATGGTACTGGACAGAGTCTCATTATATTTGATCCTTAGAATCAAGCATGAGGATTCTAGGTACTTTGGACGTGTTAGCAAGAGACCAGCTCCTGGACGAGAACATCATGCTTGTGAAACAGAGGGTCACTGAAAAAGAGATAGACTCTCAAAGAGATGGAGGGACACACTGACGGAAACAATAGCTCAATCCTCACAGTTGTGAGGAGGGCACAGGACTGGGCAGTGTCCATTCGGTTCTACTGACATATGTCGCTGAGCTGGGCTGGACTCGAGGGCCAACTACCAACTACAATATTCTCCTTTTTATGAGTAGCTCATCTTGGATTTCTTCCTCAGAATGATCTTGTCTCTCTTACCCACAGAACCTTGGAGGCCTTTGTTGACTCATAGCAGCCTCATAAGACAGAGTAGAACGGATCCCTAGAGTTTCTGAGACGAACTCTCTATGGGAGCAGACAGCTTCCTCTTCCTCCCACAGAGGGGCTGGTAGATTTGAATCACGGCCCTTGCAGTTAGCAGCCACATTTTTCATCTACTCTGCCACCGAGACTCCTTCTCAGGCACCTGGCGGGGATTTACCTTGTGCAGACTCTGGGTGTTGTGGTCTCCTACGGCCGATGTGGTTGTTGGCCCTTCTTTTTTCCCTGACAGTGGGAGGTAAGTCTCAACTGAACAGAGGACACTGCTGAGTATTTTGAAAATAATTATCTTGCAGTGAAATGTTTGCTGCTTTTGACAATTGTAGTTGAAACAGTTTTTCTGCTACATGCTTTTCTTATGTAGTGCGAATTTTCCTCCTATTAGCAGTAGTATTACTATTCACATTTACTTCTATTGAAGGGGCTCTCCTGTCAACTGAAAATTTAGTGGCAACAGGAAAATGAGTACTTTTTCCCTCTTGTGTTCTATATCTCTCTATAATTTTATTGAGGGCTCTTATAACAATCTATATATTGTGTCAAGCTCCTTTGTACATTTGTTGCCATCATTCTTTTCAAAAAAATTTCTTTCGACTTGAGCCCTTGGTATCAGCTCATTTTCCCCCTCCTTCCCCTCCCCTTCCACCCTCATGAACCCTTGATAAATTATGTTATTATTATTTTCACATCTTACACTGTTCACTGTCTCCCTTCACCCATGTTTCTTTTGTTCATGGGGTGTGTGTGTTATATGTTGATCACTGCAATCTGTTCCCCCTTTCTCCCCCCACCTTCCCCCTACCCTCATGGTATCGCGACACCCGTTATTGTTCCTGAGGGGAAAATGAGTATTTTTTAATGATGATACGGCTTCCAGGAGTGCTGCCCCGGTAACAGCATGTCTCTGTATCTCATAGGCACCATGGGACAAGACGTGCAGCAGCCCCCTGCGTTGATGGCTCTGGAAGGAGCCTCTGTGAAGGTGAACTGTACATTCCAGACAACTGGCTTCAATGGGCTGTCCTGGTACCAGCAAAGTGATGATGGAGCGCCCGTCTTTCTCGCTTACAATGTTCTGGATGGGTTGGAGAAGAGAGGCCGTTTTTCTTCCTTCCTCAGTCGCTCTAATACATACAGTTACCTCCTTCTGACGGGGACGCAGATCAAAGACTCTGCCTCCTACTTCTGTGCTGTGAGAGACATGGTGACAATGAGCCCCTTTCAGCTGTAACAACATTCAAAAGGCCACCAGGAGTGGATTTGAGAAGTTCTAGTATTTCCTGAGTGTATACCTGCCTACACCTCTAGTCTTGAACTACTGCTTAGAGTAATGCAGCAGTGAACTTAGCCCCAATCTTTAATTGCTAGAAGGAGGGACAGATTGCTCTCTCTCGCTCCCTCCTTCTCCTCACCGGTGCTTCCACTATCCTGTGGGACAGAAGATACACGTTGTCTTTGGAGGAAGCTCTACTCTGGAAAGGATTCTTCTGTGTAAGTTTTCTTTTATTCACCAGTCAGTCAGATACCTCTTTATCTCGGGGGAACTCTGAAATTGGGATAGTAAATGCCAATGCCTCAAGGTGAGAGAGTGAAATTCCACTTAATTCTGTCAAACCTGTCCCCATTTTGTCGTTTTCGGAGGGCTATTTTGGTAGTACTTAAGCTTTTTGTTGGATCTCACCATCGGTAGGGCTGTGGGCTTAGAGAACGAGGAGCGGGTGAAGGCAAATTTCTTTCTGTCGACTAGAAGACGTGGGAGGTGTCAGTGGGGAAGGAGATGGCTCGTGGGGACTGCCCATAAAAGCAAATGATGAAGGATATAAAAGAATTCCGTATATACCAGTATAAGCCGACCTGAATATCAGCCGAGGCACCTAATTTTACCACAAGAACTGCCTAAAAATGTGCTGAAAAAAATACGGTAATATCTAGATAAAGATTTTATTTTTCTAAATTAGAATTTTTTAGTGCTGTCCCCACATACTAGACGTTTGTTAGTCATTAGAAAGCAAGCAAGCAAACAAGCCACTTTGCACCAGGTCAGTTTTTACTCAGGAAAATCCCGTGCTTGGAAGTAGAGCTGCACCTCACAGTGTCGTCGGGGTTACGATGCTGTGGAAGCAGACTGGCATATCTCATTTTCCCTCTGGTCTTGTTCAAACAGCCAGGGTTTCCTGGGCACTTCTGTTAACGATTATAGCAATGATATTCTTTGCAAAGGGAAATGAACAATTTCTTTCCTATACATATGTGGATTTCTCTTTCTCTGCATCTGAGTACATATATTTATTTTTATGTAACCTCTCCTTAGCTTTAGAGATTTAAGTTCTTCCATAAGTTCATTTGAATTATTCCTTCTGGGATAAACAGAATGTGAATTCCTTTTTCCCTACATCTTTGTACATACACGGATTTGTGAAAGATCATGAAGAAATGTAATGACAAGATAATGGAATTAAAAGAAAAACCCTTTGTGTTTATTTCTGTGTATCTTTTCGTAGCTTTCGATATTTAAGTTTTTCAATCACCTTATGTGAGTCAGACCTTTCGGACAAAACAGAATAAGAGGAATTTGGTAACAGAGAGTAGGAAAGAAGGTAAGGCTTTCAGTTAAAAAAACAAACTATTTTATCGAGAACCTATTATATGCTAAACTTTATTTTAGTTGCTGGGGTGCATTAGTGAATAAAAGATCCCTGAAATCCAGCTGCTTATATTCCAGATAAGTCAGAAAGAACAGGCCATTTCACACACATGGCCTTGAAAGCATGCTGTGGTCAGGTATCATGAAGTCAGTTCAGAAGCCTAGCAACTGTACACACAATCCAATGACACATTGCCCGGTTCTGCGCCTTTCTCACAATCATTGCTATAGTTGAGTGTGTGCTGCAACCACTGCTCTTGCAGCATCTCCCGGTCTTCCTCTTGTCCACGTACTCTGCCCTTTACCAAGCATGAAGACCTCCTCCAGAGACTGCTCCTTCCTGATAGCGTGACCAAAGTGTGTGAGAAAATGTCTTGCCATCCTTGCTTCGAAGAAGCATTCAGGCTGCACATCTTCCAAGACAATTTGGTTCCTTATTCTGCTAGTCCTTGGTAATTTCAATATTCTTTGATCATACATTCAAAGACAACAGTTTTTCTTCAGGCTCTTTATTCATTTATGCAGCTTTCACAGGTCTATGAGGAGACTGAAAACAGGATGGGTTGGGTCATGGCTCACCTGAGCCGTCAAAGTGACAGCTTTGCTTTTTAATACTTTCAAGACATCTCTTGAGCATTTGTTCAACGCTCTCTGCCATTTGAGTCCTTGATAACTTCCACAGGCATTGATTTTGGATCTGAATATAATGATATCCTTGACAACTTCAATTTTTTTCCATTTATCATGTTACTGTTCAATGGTCCAATTGTGATGTACTCTACACTGATGGATGAACATATAGGAGATTTTAACCTTACCTTCAGTATTAAAATTTATTGTCTTTAAGAGGAAATGAGCTAAGATGTACACACACAAAAAGATGTACACAACCAATGTAAATGTCATGTGCTTGTTATGAACGTCATGATATAAAGTACTCATGAGCCGAATAAGGGCTAAGCAACTTTGTATAACAGGAATGAGGTTAGCTTCCATGTCCTTTGATTTGAGGCCTTAGGGACTCTTTACCTCTAAGTATGGGGAAGAATAAAATATCTGATTGTCTCTTTCTTTTCTAGTTCTTGTGGTACCTGGAGTTTCTAGGGCAGTGGTTCTCAACCTTCCTCATGCCGTGGTGACCCCCAACCATAACATTATTTTCGTTGCTACTTCATAACTGTCATTTTGCTACTGTGATGAATCGTCATGTAAATATCTGATAGGCAGGATGTATTTTCATTGTTACAAATTCAGCATAATGAAAGCATAGTGATTAATCACAAAACCAAAATGTAATTATATATTGTGAGATACTAATTTCTAATGACAAATAAAGGAAATTTTGTCTGGAAGCAGGGTGTAGCATGGGTAACAATCTTCCCATTGGGTACCCGTATGTGGGCTTATCTGCATGTGAGGGGACCCGCCTAGAGATGGGTAGAGGAGTGGTGTCTCGGTTCCTAACACCATCCGAAATAAGTGTTTTCTGATCGTCCTAGGTGACCCCTGTGAAAGGGTCATTCAACCTCCAAAAGGGGTCGCGACCCACAGGCTGAGAACGCTGTTCTGGAGTCATGTGGCTACAGAGATACCTGCAGCATGTTTTCACTGTGGCAGATAATCTCTTCTTTAGTTCTAGGTTCTAAGATAATGAACAAAAGAATTACGGTAATAATAAAAAAATCATTTTATTGGGGGCTTGTACAACTCTTATCACAATCCATACATCCATTGTGTCAAGCACATTTGTACATTTGTTGCTACCATCATTCTCAAAACATTTGCTTTCTACTTGAGCCCTTGGTCTCAGCTCCTCATTTTTTCCCCACCCTCTCCGCTCTCCCTCCCTCCCGAACCCTTGATAATTTATGAATTATTATTATCTTGTCATGTCTTACACTATCCGATGTCTCCCTTCATATGATAATCATTAAAAATAATTAATACCAGATTAGGCCCAAGGAGTTGGAGACTAAAGATGTCTCAAGTGTCCAACTCTTCCAAGATGCTGTTCTGCTCAGTTTTCCTCCCACTCTCCCCTTAAGTATGTTCCCTTGAGTCCCAGGGTGCTGCTATTTGCTGCAACATCCCACACTAACTCATGAAACTTTGAGGAATGCTTCATGGGGTGGTTGGTGCTGTTCAGTCCTATATCCAAATGTCACACAGAGATGAGCCAAATGAGCCAGGATTTAGAGTCAGAAGCCAAAACTGTCCAAAAATCACAGCAGGTCCTCTTGCTTCTAGTAAAGCTCAGTCAGGAAATAGAAGCATGGCTTTCCAGGGGAGGTGACGTGTGTCAGAACTGAAAGGTGGTACCAATCTATAAACCCCACCAAGGAAAACAGAGATTGGTGTCATAGGTCACACCTGCTACGAGGTAGGGTCTTAAAGATGAGCTCAAGGAAAAGGATGTGACTTGGTTCACACTCTTTACTAAGTAGAATTTTAAGGTTGCCCCCAAGGAAGCCAAAGGGTGTGGTTAGATGCACCCCCTCTCTGAAGGTAGAGACGAAAGATGCCCCTACTGGAAAGGGAGTGGTTTGTATAAGTTTGTCATTTCTCAGAGGAGTGGGCACAGGAGTCATGTAACCATCTTCTACCTGGTTCTCATAATGGTTCCTTCCCTGGTTCCTTCTGTGGGAGAAAGAGGAGATTATCTGCTCCTGTGCAGAGAGCTTTGGAAACCCCGTATGGGGTCACTGTGAGTTGGAAGGGACTTAGGGGCAGTGGGTTTGGGCTTGGTTTTGTTCCTTTTGGCAAAGAGGTGTTCCTAAGCCTCAGGTTATATCACTGTTCCCTGTGGCTCATCTACTCTCACATCTTCGTAAATGTTCTCTGTGCAAGAAAACCATCCTTAAGTCATCCTTTTCTTGAGGGGGTCATCTATTTCTTTTGGGGAGCTTGACTAATACGTGGCTTGACTAATAAAATTAGCCCTGTTCATATGTCTTAAGGGCCTTTTGCAGGTGTACTCAAGAGCGAAGGGCAGTGAATGAAGACAGTTGGAGAGCCATAAGGGTCAAGATTTAGTTAGGCGAATGGTTTAGAAACTGGAGGACAAAATTGGACAATTTTCTAAAAGAAGTACTTAAGGATTAGATGATCTGACTGTGGAGGGGTCCTGTACCATCCTCACAATTGTTCTTATGTCTGAGCTCATTGTTGCAGCTGCTGTGTCAACCCATCTCATCGAGGACCTTCTTTGACCTGGGCCCTTGACTTTACCAAGCATGATGTCTCTCCTCCGGGACTGGTCTCTTCGGACACCAGGTCCAAAGTATGTGAGACAGTCTCGCTATCCTGGCCTCTCAGGAGCATTCTGGCTTCCAAGACAGATCTGTTTGTTCTTTTGGCAGTTCATGGGAACTTCCAATATTCTTTGCCAGTGCCGTGATTCAAATATATCAATTCTTCTTCAGTCTTCCTTATTTAATGTCCAACTTTAATGTGCATATGATGCATTGGAGAATAATTTAGCTTGAGTCAGATGCACCCTCGTCCTCAAAGTCACAAGCCTGCTTTTCAACACTTCAAAGAGGGCTTGATGTACCCAATACAATGTGTCATGTGATCTCTTTACTACT